TCCTGTTTTGTAGAATAGTAATTATAAAGTATTTATTATGTTTCGGCTACTGACAGGCACTTTACATCTGTTTTCTCAGTCTCACCACGACTTTGCAAGGAAGGCTGACATTATATTTATAGACAGTCATTTAATGTTGGTTTTATTGGTCACAAAGGGAATTAGATAACAATGCGGGTAGTTCAGTGATAACATATCACTTGCAAACAAAAGTTGAGTCTTCCTGGCATGGGGCCAATAGCATTTTTGTATTTCTAAGTGTTCTAGACAGCCATATTTCAATTTCTTTTTGAGTGTTTATGTATTGTAGCCAACTTGCTTTCTTAAACAGTGGACAGTTATCTTTGGGAGAGTTTGTGTGGTGTGTGTGTGTGTGTGTGTGTGTGTGTGTGTGTGTGTGTGGTGTGACAATTAGACAGTGTTGTAGGGTAAAAACATCACAAAGTTTAGTAAAGTAAAAAGAAAGTTTTATTCAGCATATATTCTAAAAGGCAAGGGTGGGAAGCGGACAAGCATGCTGCCAGAGCCATGTCTGCCTGAATCCAAGGAATATTACAGAATAGACAAAAGTAGGAAAACAGATAAGCATGCTGCCACAGCCATGTCTGTCCGAGCCCAAGGAAATATTACAGAATAGGCAAGAATGGAAAAACGGACAAGCATGCTGCTGGAGCCATGTCTGCCTGAGTCTGAGGAACATTACAGAATCATCAGTATATATTAACATTACAAATGGGCAAAACCATTGAAAGCTTTATCTTTTCACAGATTGTCTAGAAACTGCTAAATCTCCATAGTCCTACATTTTGAATCGTCTTTCTTAACAGTCATTGGTACAGGTTTCAGTAACGACAGTCAGGAGGGTCCTCATTGGTCCAACAAATCTTACTACTCACTAAGTGCTAGTAAAAGAAAGATAAGGGTGGAAAGTATGTGGTTCATTTGTGCTGTTTTGTGATTCATTTATGTGAAGGTTCCTTAAAAGATGTTTTCCAAGATTGTCCTAGCTGTTATTTTAATACCTCAGGGCCCAGCTAATGTGTCCTCGTGAGTCCTTGTGAGTCCAGCTCCGGCTGGGTCACATTTTAGGATGGGGAGTAATGGCTCCATATTATCTCCTAAATCAATAGAGAGATAGGTAGATTGAGGGGTTATTTGAACATATTTGCAGAAAATTATTAGTAGGAAATTTATGCCTAGTATTGTGAAGTCACATTTGACAGAGAAGAGATGCAAAGGATCTTAAACTGGGCAGGTGCCCCTGGGTGTCTTCATCTGAGAACCTGGGAGATGGAAGGAGTGTTGTCACATGGGTTAAAGGGGTCATGGGAATAGTGTTTCCGGTGGGAACTTAATCTTCACAAATAAATGCCAAAGACTCTCAGAGCTTTTATTCTTCCAGTTCAAGTTGTGGGAGTCATCCCTTAGTGTATTTTCTATCAAGTATTATCACATTTAATACTGATTTGTTCCTTGTTGTACTAGGCTTTGGGTTAGGTTGTGTTTGGAAAATATCTTAGGATGATTCTTTTTTAAAAAGTGGGGTGGGAGACTGGGGTTTATGATGAGCTGGTATATGTGAATGTTTCCAGCACGCGTCAGCATATGGCATGTGTCGTATCAGTGCTGGTGCCCTTAGGCATTGGAAACCCCCCCCCCAAAAAAAAACAAAAAACCTCAAACTTGTTGCCATTGAGTTGATTCCAACTCATAGAGAACTTATAGGACAGAGTAGAATAGAACTGCCCCCAAAGAGTTTACAAGGAGTGGCTGGTGGGTTCCAACTGCCGACCTTTTGGTTAGCAGCTGAGCTCTTAACCACTGTACCACCAGGGCTCCATTGGAAAGCTAAGGTCCTTTCTAACTTTAAGATTTCATGGTTCTTTGATAAGGAACATAGATTAAAAACAAACAATGGAATCAAATAAAAAACAACTATACTGAACCTACATAATTCTAATACATAGTATTTTTATTTTATGTATTTCCTTATAAGTCTTTCTTCACAAATATATGATGTGAAAACATCTGGTTGAAATCACAATGAGAAATTATCATATGAATTTATAAAAATTTTTATCAGTCTCTTAAGAATCCTACCCAAAGTAACTGTTATCAAATGCCTTGTTCTATAAATTATAATTAACAATGTTTTGGGGGTATACATAATAGAAATATGTGTACATATACATATATATATGCATATGTATGTACACACGTAATCATCAGAAGACCAAGACTGCTTTGTTGTAACTCTCTGTGTTTTGACACAGCCTTTCAATATGTGTGTTACTCATTAGTATTCCTTCCTCTTACCACTCCACTGCCCTCAAATTGATTCTGACTCATAGCACCCCTACAGGGCAGAGTAGAACTTCCCCCATAGAGTTTCCAAGGCTGTAAAGCTTTACAGAAGTGTACTGCCACTAGTGGGTTCAAACTGCTGACCTTTTTGGTTAGCAGCTGAGTACTTTAACCACTGTGCCATCAGGGCTCTACAGTTGGATTTTGGTAGCAGAAGACTTCTCAGGAAACTCCCCAACAGTAATAGGAGTTACAATACTTCTTTGGAAATTTGAATGATGGATTTGCAAAACCCTGGTAAACACCATTTAACCTGTTTATGAATCATCTGCTCCTTTATCAGAGCTAAAGAGAACTTTTGAGATCATATGGTTAGATGACTCTGAGCAGCAACTGCACTTTGGGAAACACTGATTTAAATAACATTCTAACGCTCTTATTTATTCTACAGCCTTGCCACCGAAAGTGTGGTTCACTGTCAGGTGATTCCAATGGACATTAAAGTTTGTTAAGCATTGTGCTATGAAACCCTGCCACGTGGTCTCTAGAACCACGCTTGAATATCTGTAATAACAGTGACTCATTATCTTAGTTATCTAGTGCTGCTGTAACAGAAATACCACAAGTGGATGGCTTTAACAAAGGGAAATTTATTCTCTCACAGTCTAGGAGGCTAGAAGTCCAAATTCAGGGTGCCAGCTCCATGGAAAGGCTTTCTGTCTCTGTCTGCTTTGGGGGAAGGTCTTTGTCATCAATCTTCCCTGGATGAGGGGCTTCTCAGTGCAGGGACCCTGGGTCCAAAGGACACACTCCCCTCCTGGTTCTTCATTCTTGGTGGCATGAGGTCCTCCTGTCTCTCTGCTCGCTTCTCTCTTTTATATCTCAAAAGAGATTGACTCAAAATACAACCTAATCTTGTAGATTGAGTCCTGCCTCATTAACATAACTGTCTGTAATCCTGCCTCATTAACGTCATAGAGGTAGGATTTATAACACAAAGGAAAATCACATCAGATGACAAAATGGTGGACAATCAAACACAATACTGAGAATCTTGGCCTAGCCAAGTTGACACATTTTGGGGGGACACAGTAAAATCCATAACACTCAGTATCCAACAATCACCCTATATCACCTTTGTTGTTGTTAGGTGCTGTTGAGTTGGCCCCAACACGTGGCAACCCCTGTGCACAGCAGAATAAAACACTACTTAGTCCTGAGTCATCCCCATGATCAGTTGTGGATCTGACTGTTGTGATCCATAGAGTTTTCATTGGCTGATTTTTGGAAGTAGATCACAAGTCCATTTTTCCCAATTCATTTTAGTCTGGAAGCTCCACTGAAACCTGTTCAGCATCACAGCAACATGTAAGCCTCCACTGATGGAGGCATGGTGGCTATGCTTGAGGTGCATTTGCCAGGAACAGAGCCTGGGTCTCCCAGGTGAAAGGCAAGAATTCTGTCTCCAAACCACCACTGCCCCCATATTATCTTTAACCCACTGCCATCGAGTCAATTCCGACTCATAGTAACCCCATAGGACAGAGTAGAACTGCCCGATATGGTTTCCAAGGAGTGGCTGGTGGATTCCACCTGTGGACCTTTTGGTTAGCAGCCAAGCTTTAAACTACTCTGCCGCCAGGGTTCTGTCTTATCTTTAGGGAGTCTAAATATTAGGAAGTTCTTCATAGTACTGAGCTCACACCTAACTCCTTGAATTTTGTATTCAATTGCCTTGGCTTAATCCCCTGGTAGCCTTCAGAACCAGGCTAGTTTATCTTTTTCATGAAGGCCCTTGAAACTCCAGAATGGGATGTCTTTGTTTCCTCACCTGATTTAAGCTTCTTCAGGTTTAACATAATCCCCATCCCCCAGGCTGTTCCTGGAATGACATTGTTGGGGGTTTCTTTACCATACTATTCAGACTAGAATATCTTAAAGGACCCTTCCAATTTAAACATTGTGATTGATCTTTTACTCCAGCTGGCAATACGTAGTAGTGAGTAGAAGATAGCAATCGAGGATCTGTACTTTCCATACACTTAGGGAGAATGATTCCTAGGAACAAATTTATCATTATCCGTAATTTCTTTAGGTTCAAAATTCTATCTCGTGGTGGAGACCTCTCCTCTGTTATAATAGAGCCTCTAATGAGCATCTCTTTGCCTTTCTTCTAGTTTCTGAATGGGTCAACTACTTAGCATTTTGAAAATGAAATGTACATAGATAGAAATGAAAATAAGTTTTGTTTCTCTCCAAAACAAGAAAAACATTGTTAAGATCCATGTACTTTTAGAAAAAAATTGCCTGGAATCCACAGCTCAGCACATCAATTGGTTTCATTTTTCTCTGCTGCCTTTCGCTAATGCATTACACACACATACATCCAACCCAGAAATAATCTTAGTATACTAAACTTTTAAACACTTTCCTTCTTTACTTGGTAGAACCTAAATATTTTTTCATGTTACTCCTTGATTTTCATAAGCATCCAGTGTGATTATTTACCTGTTGAAGGACATTGGCGTTCATAAGTGGCTTCTGAAATAGGAATATTCACCATTTTTTAATAGTTTTGTTTTTGATATTTGTTACCTAAGAAAACAAAGATCGTGGAGGTTTTGTTTACATTTGTGTCAGAGTTTGTCTGGTATAAAACAGCTGTAGCAGGATCAGTTTGAGTTATCTTTCAATATTCTTTTCAGGAAGTGGCCCACGACACATTCTTAGATTAGTTGCTCTTCTAGCTAATTTCCTCTGCGTCACCTTTCCTTCCCATTTTCTTCTAGATATATTTATTCTTCTCTACCTCCTCATTCTCCTGTTCCTCTCTTCCTTTCCTCTTCTGAGAGTTTTCGGAGCAATAGCTCCTTTCCTCACCTCTGCACTTAACAATAAAGCTGTGTGTGTGTGTGTGTGTGTGTGTGTGTGTGTGTGTGTGTGTGTGCGTGTGCGCGCAGAGAGAGAAGCTGAAAAACAAGACAGATGGTTCCTTCATTACCAGATTGCTTTGGGTTGAGCTGGGTATGTTATTTTTTTTCAAGGAGACTAAACTGGATCCTTTGGATAACCAATCATGAACTACAGAAATGTAATATGTGCTGCTGGTTTTACTGTTGGATTTTTTTGTTTTGTTTTTGTAATTTTGTGATTTCATCATCCAGTGGAGGATTTTATCAGAATCAGAACTAAGTTTACTAAAGTAGTGTGTTCATTAAAAATTTTTATTATTGGCTTTAAACTTTTCTTGGTTAGCTGAGCCGTTCTTACGTGTGGTATCTTTGGGTTTTATTTCAGTACTTGCAAGCAAAGAAGCCCCACAGCCCTCCATCTTGGATTAGCTCTAGTAGAGAGGCCTCAACAATTAAGCAGACAGCCTCCTGAGCCTCCAGCCTCCTGATCCTAATTTACTACATCCTTTCCCTTCAGGAACAGAGGGCCATTGGGAAACAGATCCCTAAAAGTGCAGGTAAGCCAAGCCAACACCGTATCATCTCCAACTCCTTAGATGTATGTCTGAACACTTGAAATGTTCTTGTACAATGTTTCTATCTCTAGCTGGTAGCCTTAAAATGCTCTCTTCTTCTATGTATAGAACTGTCTGTTAATTTCTTCCTTACTAGTTTTACAGGTGGCCGGAGGCCTATGAGACTAGTAATGTAACTAAGGACTTGCCATATCCCAAAGTCAAGCTAAGGAAGTTTTTATTCTCATTTTGGACAGTCCTTCTTTGGAATGGTTCTAAGCCAACATGGAAGTAAACGGTGAAAAACTCTGAAGTTAACGCCAGAATGTTGCATGCATCAGACATATTATAGAGGCTCTCCTGTTCAGCTGTGTAACCCTCAGCAAGAGGCTTGCCTCCCTAGGGCTTGCTTCCTCAAAAAAATTAATTCTAGTTCTCTCTCTGTCTTAAAAAGTGACAATTATAATAATATTAAATTACCTTAATATAATGTTTAATCTCTTACTATTCCTGGACCCAATGTACAAATTTTCGACACCAACTTCTAACTTCCTTCTGAGAAAGCTCTAGAGATCAAATGTTCGCTAGGAATTAGCTCCATGTTTTACTCATGAATCCCTACAATCTTTCTGATTGGTTAAGGTCCATCAGAGAACAATTATTCTACTAGCACATTTGTTAACATTACAGTTTTGTTTGGAGATCTTTTTGTGAAAGACACTTACTGGCTCAGAACATTATGCTTTAGTGATACTGGAAAATTTGGACATTCACAATCATTTTGAGATTTAATCATTGGGAGTCTCTTGAGCTTTTGATTGTTTACACTGAGATTATTCATGGTAGTTAGAGAGCCTATCATGAGTCTCTGGGTGGTGCAAAGGGTTGATGCTCTTGATTGCTAACCAAAAGGTTGGAGGTTCAAGTCTACCCTGAGGTGCCTCAGAAGAAAGGCCTGGTGATCTTCTTCTGAAAAACAGCCATTGAAAACCCTATGGAGCACAGTTTTACACTGGCACACATGGGGTCACCATGAATTGGAATCAACCTGACAACTGGTTTTTTGGTCCCTGTCATAGTCCTGGGAAACCCTGGTGGCGTAGTGGTTAAGTGCTACAGCTGCTAACCAAAAGGTCAGCAGTTTGAATCCACCAGGCCCTCCTTGGAAACTCTATGGGGCAGTTCTACCCTGTCCTATAGGATCGCTATGAGTCGGAATCGACTCGACGGCAACGGGTTTGGTTTTTTTGGGTCATAGTCCTGAACCACTGGGCTTGTAGAACTCTTGAGTGCTGTGAAGCTAGCCTGAAAGTAGGACTAGATCCTTAGATTTCTTACTGCCAGTAACATTTTAATATAGTGTGATTTGGACTTAAATCATCTTGGTGATTTTTGGAGCTACCTTTCCTGGCAGTCTTTAACATTTCCTGGCATCAATAAGACAAAAAATTTGAGAGTCCTTGTAGCATAATGATGAAGAGCATGGATTCTGGTATGTGCCTGTGTTCAAGGCCCAGCTCTGTCACTTACTGCTTGGGTATCCTTGGGCAAGTTACTTAACGTCTCTGTGCTTTAATGTCTTCACCTGTGTAGTAGGATAACAATACTACCTGTCTTGTTGTTGTTATTAGGTGCTGTCGAGTGGGTTCTGACTCATAGCAACCCTATCTTATAGGGCGGTTATGTATAATTAAGATAATGATACATCTAAAGCATTTAGAACAGTTCTGCTACATAAGTCTCCAGTAAATATTAACTATCTTTTTTTCCATCGCACCGTTTTTATTCTTCTGCAACCATTCTCTAGTTTAGGGCTGACAAATATCCAAGTCTCCATCCTTACCTTGTTGGACATTGATGATCCACCATAGTATTCTTTGTTTCTGAGCTTAGGACACAATATCTGAATCCTTCTCAACATCATAATGGATCCAAATTAGAGTGTAAGATGAAACCTGTTTACCAACTCAGATTATTCCTGATTTTATTTCTTGCCCCAAGACATAAATTTGATATGCTGATTACAAATCTTGGGGATTTTGTTGTTGTTGTATGTTTGTTTTTACTAAATCACAGGGCAGTTTTATTATGAAAAGCATAAAAAAGTTTTGGTTTCTGTAGCCAGAAATAGTGTCTGTTGCCAAATTCTACGATGAATTTGGCTTACTACTGTTTTGAATTCCTTTACTTTTATATTCAGAAGGAGATGAGGAAGGCTTCCTGTCACTCATAACTGAGAAATGTTAAAGTGAACATGCAGGAGTAACAGCTCACACAGATTGTTATGAGTTCGTAGGATCTCTGCTGGGATGCTATGAAGTTAGTTCATTAGCGAGGGCTCGGTGTGTGGGCAGCTAATACTTTGCTAGCTTTAAAAGAAAAATTACCATATGCCAGACACTTTTCTAAGTGCTTTGTATTTACTCCTTACAATAGTGCTATTAAGTACGTATCATTATTCCCCATTTTACAGATGAGGAAATTGATGTATAAAGAGGTTAAGCAACTGCCCAAGTTTATATAACTAGTAAGAGGTAGAGTTGAGATTCAAACCCAGGGGGTCTGATTGTCAAGCAGGCAATCTTAACCCCTAATTATGCCGTCCTGTCACGCATAAAGAATAAACTGCATAAAGAAGATGAGAAGTAAGATAGAAAGGACCACATTATAAAAATTATCAAATGCCAAGCTAAGCAATTTCATTTTTATTTGTCAGACAACATGAAGTTTTCTTGTGGGGTGAGTGACAAGATGAAAGCTGGGCTTTGAAAAGCTTATGTCAGGTGCAGTAAGTGGCCAGTTTAAAGGGAAGGAAGATTAGAGATCATTGCTGATAGCTGAGGTGAGAAGTAATGAGAACGTGGGTTTAGGAAACAGGATTAAGATAAGAGCATGAGGACACCTGCATTTAGGTGGCTGGAGGAGGAAAACAGCTAGAAGCACACGCAGAGAAGGTAGAGGAACTAAGGAAACCTAGAATCGTGCAGTGCACACGGCAAGGATAGGTTCAGGAACAGAAAACCACAGACGTTAGAGAGGATTGGAACGAAACAAAGATGAGTGGGTTTAGAGATACTAACTCATTCATTCCTTTACTGACTTTTTATCATCAAATAAGTGATATTATTGTGTACTGTGATGAGACAGGAATGGTACTGGAGGGAGATCCACATAAAAACATTTTCCTGTGCTACTGACTTGGCTACTTGTTAGCTAGGTGGCCTTTGACAAGTTTTTTTTTTTTTTTTTTTTAGGTTTTCTAAACCCTGGCTACTTCTTCCATTATTTGATGACTTAAGCACTTACCCTAAATGTTCTGAACTGTTGTGATCTTTCCAACTCTAAGATTTGTAATTCTTGGGTCCAAGGAAGGTGTGAAAAGCAATAATTAGCATAACCATTGTAAGGTATGGCTGGTGATTCAGCTGGCACTTTCAGGGGAACAGGGAGGTGGTACAGAATGAAGTGTGTGTCCTATAGAAGTAATCTAAAGAGAAGAATTCTACATATTTCCTCTCAAGAATATCTGTAGTATCATAGTGATACTAGTGGTAGATGGAAGGATACGACTGAGAACAGTACAGGAGGGAAAGTGTCCAGGGAATTTACATAGAAAACACAAACATTCCCTAGAATGGTAAGGGAGATTTTTCTCATAGCTACTTATTTTCAAAGAAAGTTTTTTTTTTTTTCCTGAGCAAATTCAATTGATGGAAAATTTAAAAGATCGAGAACAGAAGACTTTTAAAAGAGACACCAAGGAACTTAGAATGAGCTTCACATTCCCCTCAAACACCATATTTTCTGGGAAACCCTGATCCTCTCAGTGGGATATAATCCCTTCTAGAGAAATAAAAAGTCATTTCTCTGCTTTATATATTCATTCCAGTGAGCATTCCCAATTTTTAGGGGAGGATTTGCCGTCTGCTTTGACAGTTAGGACCTAGCTTTAATTAAATGAAAAGATCTGTCCACATATGCTAGGGAAGAAGTCTGGAAGCCTCTGAGCCTCTCCTGCAGTGCTTCTCAAACACTCACATTACCAGGGATCTTGTTAAAATGTAGGCTCTGACTCTGTACAGTGATGGGTAGGGACTGAGATTTTGCATTTCTAACAAGTTCCCAGTCCCTGGTTGGCACAAATGGTAACTGCTATTGACTACTAGCCAAAAGGTTGATGGTTCAAACCCATCCAGAGGCTCCTCAGAAGTAAGTCCTGACAATCTGCTTTTGAAAGGTCACAGCCTTGGAAATGCTTTGGAGGATTTCTGCTCTGCACACGTAGGGTCGCCTGAGTCAGAGTTGACTCGACGGCGACTAACAGCTGCAACTTCAAGTTCACAAGTGTTTCAATACTACTGGTCCATGGCCCACACTTTGAAGAATAAAGCAGTTGCTGTCGAGTCAATTCCGACTCATAGTGACCCTGTAGGACAGAGTAGTACTGCCCCATACAGTTTCCAAGGCTGTAAATCTTTATGGAAGCAGACAGCCACATCTTTCTCCCGCGAGAGGCTGGTGGATTCGAACCGCTGATCTTTTGGTTAGCAGCCAAGTGCTTAACCACTGTGCCACCAGGGTTCCTGATATAAGCAACAATGTGGACAGATGTTTCAAAAGCATTATGCTAATGGAGAAGCCAGAAAAAAAGGTACACACTTTTTAATTCCATTTATATGAAATTTTCGAAAAAGCAAAACTATGATAATAGAAAGCAGATCAGGTTGCCAGAGGTGGGGGGTGGGGGTAATGATTGCAGATGGAAATAAAGGAACTTTTTTCAGTTGATGGTAGTATTTGGTATCATGATTTTGGTGGTGGTCACATGACTATGCACATTTTTGAAAACTCATCAGTTTATACCCTTAAAAGTGTTGAATTTTAGTGTATATAATTTTTACCCCAATAAAGCTAGTTTAAAGAATTAGCTACAATCATTAATCTGTTAACAATATCTAATACTGCTTGGAGGCTGCAGTCTTATCAGTGGGATCTTAATATAA